TTAAAACACCTAGTAAAGCTCCTTAGGAAATCTTTTACTATGCATACTAATTTATAATTCAAATATTAATATCTGGGTGATTTACTATGATTTTTTTTCCTGTACCTGAAATATAGAAGATGATGACAGCTTACTATAAATTTGCCTTCCTTCCCAATCCAATCCAATCCAATCCAACCCAACCCAACCAATTGAAAGTTTGTTGGGAAATTGCACGTAAATCTCACAGATTGAAATTAACTCATGATTTGTATAAGTAATCAAGCCTGGTGCTTATTATTCAATAGCTAGAGATATTGTGTGGACTTCAACTCCCAGAATTCCATAGCCAGCAGGCTATGGAATTCTGGAAGTTGAAGTACATATTTCTTATGTTGTCAAGATTGGGAAACACTGAGAGAAAGTACACAGATGAATAGACATCTACTTTTGTCTCTCTTCCTATATACTGTCCTAGTTTACTTAACATGAGAAAATTGGGAGTGTACCAATTACCTGCCATTCCATAGTGACTATTCATTAACTCTTATTATCCTGATCTATTGAAACACCACTGGCAATTGACATTTTGTCTAGCAGTAGTGATTTGCCTGCCTTATCTTCTCTTTTCTCTTTTTTCTTTTCTTAAGATTTCTTTCTTCTTCATCCTCCTCTCCCCTTAACTCAGCAATGTCTGTGATGTGGTGAGGTAAAAGGAGTGACAGAAAACATTATCCTTTTCTATATATGTTATGATACTGCACACACATCCAAATATATGGGGAAAAAAGGGGGGGGGAAGATGGATTAGTGTGGTAGAATACTTACTATGTATTTATTACTCTGTTTTCCCCAAAATAAGACATCCCCTGATAATAAGCCCAATTGGGCTTTTGAGTGCATGGCAATAAGGCCAAGCACTTATTTCAGGGTTCAAAAAAATATAAAACAGGGTTTTATTTTGGGGGAAACACGGTATTCAAATGTTTATAAGTGGCCATCACATGTAAGTTGAGGTAGTCCTCAACTTATAAGCACAATTGAGACAGTGACTTCCATCTTTAAGCAATGCAGTCATGGAATGAGTTGTGCCTGATTTTACAACCACTTTTGCCACATTAAGTGAATCATGGAGATTGTTAAGCAAATGAGATAATCATGAGGGAAATAATAATAGAATAGAATAGAATAGAATAGAATAGAATAGAATAGAATAGAATAGAATAGAATAGAATAGAATAGAATAGAATAGAATAGAATAGAATAGAATAGAATAACAGAGTTGGAAGGGACCTTGGAGGTCTTCTACTCCAACCCCCTGCTTAGGCAGGAAACCCGACACCACTTCAGGCAAATGGTGATGCTGGATACAGCATCTTCTTAAAAACATCCAGTGTTGGAGCATTCACAACTCCCGGAGGCAAGTTGTTCCACTGATTAATTATTCTCACTGTGAGGAGATTTCTCCTCAGTTCTAAGTTACTTCTCTCCTTGATTAGTTTCCACCCATTGCTTCTTGTCCTGCCCTCAGTTGCGTTGGTGAATAATCTGGCTTCCCCAATTGACTTTGCTCATTGGAGGCCCCTGGGAAGGTTACAAATGGCAATCACATGACCCCGGGACACTGCAATTTTGATCACATGACCATGGGGATACTGTGATGGTCATAAATGCAAGGACCGGTCATTAGCCACTTTTTTCAGACCCATCACATGGTCATTAAATGAAAGGTCAAGGACTATCTACATATGACACTGGGCAGCTCACTCACTCACGATTAAATAAAATAACAAAATGAGCAACAGGGCAATTTAAAAAATGAGAAAAAAACCCCTATCATGTTATTTCTATAATGTTTATTACATTCCCTATTTATAATAGGGAATTTATAATAGAGAATATTCCTGAAGATTGTCCTTGTGCTCTACAGGGTTTTTTTTTTTTAAAAAAAACTTTGATGATGGGAGCACAGCTAAAACAAAGACTACATAAATTATAACATTTGGAAAATAATGTAAGTGATGCAAACGTTAGGACTTTAATTGTTAAGTTGTTACAATTAAATTCGAAGTTCACTCCTGAATGAGTTACGTGTCTCTGTTAGTGATTTGATGAGGATCTTAGAGAGAGACAGCTATTCAAAGAAAGTGCAGATGGTACTTGACTTGCAACCACAACTGAGCTCAACATTTCTATTTGTTAAGTGAGCTTTGCCCCATTTTACTTTCTTGCCACCATTGTTAAGTACCCGTATATACTCGAGTATAAGCCGACCCGAATATAAGCCGAGGCACCTAATTTTACCACAAAAAACTGGGAAAACTTATTGACTTGGGTATAAGCCTAGGGTGGGAAATACAGCAGCTACTGGTAAATTTCAAAATAAAAAAGATACCAATTAATGAAATAAAAATAGATACCAATTAATAGATATCAATTACATTAATTGAAGCATCAGTAGGTTAAATGTTTTTGAATATTTATTTCAAAGAAAAACAGTAAACTAGCTCTGTAAGTGCTCCTTTTAGAAGCCTCTGACGATCAGGCAACTCAGCTGGGATCGCCAGATGCTTTTAAAGGCATTTTTTTCCCTCACTTGAGTATAAGCCGAGCGGGGCTTTTTCAGCATAAAAAATGTGCTGAAAAACTCGGCTTATACTCGAGTATATACGGTAAATCTCTACAGTTGTTAAATTAGTAACATGGTTGTTAATTGAGTCTGGCTTCCCCCATTGACTTTGCTTGTCACAAGGTCACGAAAGGTGGCCACATGACCTCAGGGCAGTGGAACCGTCATACATATGAGTCAGTTGCCAAACATCTGAATTCTGATCACATGACTGAAAAAATGAAATGAAATCACATTTTTCAGCACCGTTGTAACACCGAGCAGTCATTTACTGTTGTAAGTCAAGGACTACCTGTACTGGATTGTCTTCTCTCACGTGGAATTGGCTTCATTCTTATGTCACTGTAGTCCACTCAAAAATAGCCGTACATCACTGCAGCTTCTCCCTGTTTACAATATGCTCTGTGGACTGAAATTGCTTAGCGACAACTTTCTGTTAAACCCAAAACGGAAAGAAAAAGTAACCACCATAAACAATAAATTCACTGCAGCTTAAAGTTGTACAGAGAAAGCCTGGAGGAAAACATTTCGGGTTTTTTTTCCCTCCCTTTAAAAAGTTTAATCTGTCAGTGTTTAGCATCTTCGCACTGCGGATGTGTTACCCCCCTCCTCCCTCACCAACCCAAGCAATTTGCCTGAAATGACAGACCTATTTTTACATGGTAAAACAAATTATTTTATCCAATTCATGCAAGGGGTGTGTGTGGAGAGGGTGGGGAGAGGGTGGGGGCTGGAACTGTTGTTTGTAAATGTTTTTGTACTTGATTTTTTAAAACTATGTTATGGATGTTGCACGAGTCCATTGATCAGTGTAGATCTAAGCCAAGTTTGAAGTAGTTAAGAAAGCGGTATAATTACCAAACAAATCACCTTTGGTTTGCCCACTGCTTTTGAAAATATAGACAAATGAAAAGAGCTAATAGGCGGAATTGATTTATTTGAAGTGCTGTCTGTCTTTTTCACTTTCTTTCTGATAACCGGGAGGTCGTGGCAGACCTGTCTCCAGATGTCTGAGTGGAGGTATAAGAGGTTTTAAACCATGCCCTGTCTGATTGCATTTGTCTGTGGGGGAAATAGAATAAGATTAATCTCGCTACAATGATATTTAGCTCCTGAGCGTATTTTCATGGACAGGAGAGAGAGTATTTCAGAAAAAGACGAATAGATCGTTTTTGTTTTTGTTTTTTTCATTTTCATTCTGCTCGGAATATAAGAATGGGAAATGAAGATTGGTTGGCCTCTATGTGCAGTTAATTGCCTTTCTGTTAGCATCTTGTTTTAATTTAAAATCCTGGGATTAATAGCAGGAAATAGAGAGGGCTTGAAACAAATAATGTACGAAAGGGGTTTTCTTCCATGGCATGCAAAAAAAAGAGTCGGTGCCACAACTATCATCTTGACTTTTTTTGATCCCTCTGCGGATGCTGAGTTGGTGTTGTTTTTATATATATATATATTTTTGTCTGACAGTGTGTTCTGCAAAGCACATTTCTAATTACAAGCAAACAAATCACTACTACATCTGGGGTTTTATTTTTCCGTTTTGAAATGGCTTTAGGGCTCTGTCCTATTTTTATTTTTTATATTTTTGAAAGTTTTTGAAGTTTGCTTGGCACCCTGCATTTTCCCGACTAGTTCTGTCTTGTTAGCAGTTTTGCTGATATTTATTTATTTAGTCATACATTCATTCCTCTTGTATTCTGCGGTAATTCTTCGGAGACTCCTTGCAGTTAACAAGTAATTGTAACAGTAAATATCCGTGATAAGTTGAGAAAAAAAATAACAATAATTGCAGGAACACTAATTTATGGCACACAACCTACACTACTGGAATCAACGCTTCAAATGAACGCGACACATTTAGCCTAAACGGTATTGCCTTAGTCTATAAGTGCAGAATTTTGGGCGTCTTCTTTTAAAAAACAACAACAGGGAAGAGGGCAAGTATGATCTCAATAGGGAAATGTGCTTGAATTGTATCATTTTTTATTTTAAATATGTAACAGTGTAATACAAAATAGTTAAAATAACTCAATGGTGGGATTCAAGTAATTTAACAACCGGTTCTCTGCCCTAATAATTTCTTCCAACAACCAGTTCACCAAACTGCTCAGAAAGTTAACAACCGGTTCTCCCGAAGTGGTGTGAACTGGCTGAATCCCACCACTGAAATAAGTGCATGTAAGTGCAAAAGGAAAGCATAACAGCGGAAATAAGAATGAGAGATAGGAATGAACAGCATCTTGACCACAATATCCTCATTCCCCCCCCCCCCTATTTCCTATATTCTAGATCAGGGGTGTTAAACTCACGATGACACATTGTCATCCCGTAATGTATCACAACTTTTTTCCCCTTAGCTAAACTGAGGGTGGGCGTGGCCAGCGTGTGACGCATCCAGCCCACGGGCTGCGAATTTGACTCTCCTGTTCTAGATAATTCTGAAAGCAGCCACTCAAGGTTAAGGACTAAGGTTAGTGCTTAACTTGAATGTATATATAATGTATGTGTCTCTGTAGCAACAGTGCTGCTTAGAGATGTTTAACAAGGATGGTATTTGTGCAGTTTTTAGATTGACACCCACAAAATCCATTCTTGGTTGTTTATAGCTTTTATATGAGGACAATTCAGTTGAAATGCATGCAATTTGTATTGTTCCAGTGGTCTTAGTGGAAGTGTAAGGCAATAAAGATTGTTAGAGGTTTTCTGAGTTGTGCAGGGTTTAATCAGCAGTGGCGGTGGAAGGCTCCGCCCACCCGTCCGGACGTCATCAAATACACTCTGCACATGTGCAGAAGCTTCTGTGCATGTGCAGAAGTGGTGCACATGCGAGCAAACCGGTAACAAAGATAAGTGAAACCCACCACTGGGTTTAATGATGTCTGTCCTATGAAATATTGCTTTACAATCCTCAGACTCAAAGGACTGCAGTACAGAGAGTCCTTAACTTACAACCAATTGTTTAGTGACTGTTTGAAGTTTACAACAGAGATGAAAAAAGGAACTTATGACTGGTCCGTCCACTTATAGTGCAGTGGTTAGAATGCAGTATTGCAGGCTAATTCTTCTCACTGCCAGCAGTTCGATTCTGACCAGCTCAAGGTTGACTCAGCCTTCCATCCTTCCAAGGTCAGTAAAATGAGGATCCAGATTGTTGGGGGCAATATGCTGATGTTGCAAATTGCCCAGAGAGTGCTGTAAAGCACTGTGGGACAGTATATAAGTCTATGCGCTATTGCTATTATGCTATTATGCTATTATGATCATTGCAGCAGCATCCCCACAGTCATATGATAAAGATTCAGGTGCTTGGCAATCAGCATGTATTTATGATGATTGTAGCAACCAGGGGTCATGTGCAATCATTTGCAACCTTCCCAACCAGCTTCTGACAATTAGGGTCAGTGGAGGAAGCTGAACTTAACTTAGCAACTGCATGGTTCACATAACAATTGCCGTGATTTGCTTAACAACCATGGCAAAATGGTTGTAAAATTGTTGTGACTTATCAACTTGCTTAACAATGGAAATTCTGATCCTAACTATAGGTGTAAATCGAGGACTTATCTATAACTATACTGTGAAGATTAGAGTCATCAAAATCAAAATGCAGATAATTGGTTCCAATATAGGGGTCCTGTATGCTACCTTGTAAAATTTTATGAGACCATTCTCAGCTTTTTGGATCTAAGAGCTTTGGACTGAAGGGTTGGGGTGGTTTGCTGTACCACTTATTCCCTGGGACTCATTTCATTTCATTTTTATTAAATTCATTGATTACATACTGGATTGTGCCTTTTCTTCCTTCACCATTCCATTCCCCCCCACCCCCAAGATCCACGCTTGATACTACCAAATAATGGCTCATTCCACATTCTGAAATTCTTACCTCTTTGGTGTCCTTTACTAATCGTCTTTCCCTTTCACCATACACAATCAAATCAGTCATGCTTTCCCAGTTAAATTTCCTTTTGGTGTGTGTGCAAAAGTAGCCTTATGTTTACACCAGTGGTGGGATTCAAATAATTTAACAACCGGTTCTCTGCCCTAATGACCAACTTGGTAGGCATGGCTCGGTGGTCATGTGAACGTGAGGGGGTGGCCAACTCAACATCACTCACGTCGAAGGGCGCTTTGCCTTCGCTGTTACAATGGAATAAGGGTTAACCAGAGAGGCAGTTTCTGTAAGCACGGCAATAAAGATTAGGCTAGAAACAACACCAAAATGTTTCCTTCCTGCCTTCCTTAAAGGATTAGCCCTGTAAAGTGGAAAAAAACAAAATAAGATTTCTTCCAAAAACTGGTTCTCCGAACTGCTTAGAAACTTAGCAACCGGTTCTCCCGAATAGGTGCAAACTGGCTGAATCCCATCACTGGTTTATACCATGTATTTGTTTTGAAACATCCCAGTCATTTTTCTTGTATGCTCATCCTGTTCTTCTTCATCCATTTTTGTCTTCTAATATACTACAGAATATACTTCCCCCACCCCTGCCCAGTCACATTCATTCAGAATATTTCATAATTTTACCCCAAACTCATTACCTCCATTCACTGAAGCATAATACGGGAAGTCTTCAATTTACAGCCATTCATTTAGCGATCATCTGAAGTTGCAATGGCACTGAAAAAAGTGAGTTAGGGTTGTTTTTCATACTTACAACAATGGCAGGATTCTCATGGTCATATGATCAAAATTTTGATGCTTTTTTTTTAAAATTTGATTTATATGCCGCCCTTCTCCGGAGACTCAGGACGGTTTACAATGCATTAAGCAATAGCCTTCATACTTTTGTATATTTTATACAAAGTCAGCTTATTACCCCCATAATCCGGGTCCTCATTTTACCTACCTTAGAAAGGATGGAAGGCTGAGTCAACTTTGAGCCTGGTGAGATTTGAACTTGCAGTAATTGCAGGCAGCTGATGTTAATAACAGTGCTTTAGTCTGCTGCGCCACCAGGGCTTGGCAACTGACATGCATTTATGATCCAGTGTCCTGAGTTCAGGTGATCATCTTTTGTGACCTACTGACCAGCAAAGTTAATACTACTACTACTACATTCATGTCAGGAGCTCTGAAGAGCTTCCAGGTGGAAAGGATTGAGTGGTGACATCACTGTTGCCAGGAGGATGCCCAGTTGAGGAATTCTTTCATGTCCCTGTTATATTGTCTACCGTAATGGTACCCATTTATCTATTTGTGGTTGCCCACTTTTGAACTGCTGTGTCAGCAAGAGCTGGAGTGTGTGACAAGAGCTTACGCCGTCCCTATGGCAGCAACTGGGTCTCAAACACAAGCTGCTGATCATCAGCCTGATGTCCTAACCTCCTGAGCTACTGTGCTCCTTTAGCAAGATCAATGGGGAAGCAGGATCTACTTAACAGCCATGTTACTAACTTAACTGCAATGATTTGCTTAAAAACTGTGGTATGAAAGGTCATAAATGGGGCAAAAGTCACTTAACAACCATCTTGCTTAGCAACAGTAATTTTGGGCTCAATTGTGGTTGTAATTTGTGGACTACTTGCATGTAATTATTACCAAACTAAGATTTCCTAGATTCATGTGCTGCAATTATAGATTGGTGGTGACACAGAAACAACCATCTAGTATTCAGGGGTGGCATTTGGGTTTAAGAATAAAATTCCCCTCTGTTGGATGTCTGTTCTGCCCTGGCTCCAAAACACGACAAACCCTCTGTAGTTAACTAAATGTTTGTTTTTTTTATTAGGAGCGCCAGCAGCCCTGGCAAAAAGTCTGTCTCTCTCTCTCTCTCTCACAGCAGGCTAACAAGTCTGTCCAGCAGTGAAATGAATAGTTGTCTGCCACACCTATTCATCTCTGCCCCCTGTCTTTTATCCTCAGAGCTAGGTTGGGGCTTCACTAGCAGCAGTGGCTGTTCCATCTCAAGGACCGGCCCATAGATTTCCACTGCTCTCCTCTTCTCTGCCTTCTGCACATTGGTGTGTCAGACACTGGACCCAGCTGTTCCTCCTCTTCCTCATCAGCCACCTCCAGACCGGGGGGGCTGTTGACTCTCCATCTGAGGGCTGATGGGTGGCCCAGGCTCCACCTCTGTCTCTATCTGTGACAGCTCCAGTCCATCTTCCCCCTCAGAGCTCTCAGATTTGCCTTGATGCTGTCCCTGACTCCCACGCCTCCTCCTCATCTGACTCGGCTGCCGAAGGGGCTGGCAGCTGGCAGGCCACAACAATGTCAAGCTGCAGTGCCATTTCAATTTAGGCAATTTTTAACAACTCATATATTTGTACTACCCTTCTTTTGTGATCAAGATAATATGTTATATCATCAAGGTCATTTACTGTCAATGTGTAAAGCAGCTAAGTAACCTGATGCTATTTAGCTGTCATCAGCCAGGTGATGTCCAGGAATTATGAGAGTTATAGAAGAGTGTCAACTTTTCTATCCTTCCTATAATAATAGGCAAAGAATCAGCAATATCAGAACCAATCAGCTTGTTTCTCCTTTTCAGCTAAGGATATTATGATTACTTTGGGCTCTTTGGATTCATGTTTCTTTTCCTAAGCCCATATATTTTTTTTCTTAAATAATCACTCACTTCACTCACTGAAGAACTAGTTCTGAAAAAGTAAGTCTTAAAATTTAATCTGGGAGTTACAGTTTAAAGTATGTATGCTCCATTATGATGATTAATTTGATAAGATGCATGTTGATTTGAGGAGGAGAGTTCCATTTTTAAGGATGTACTAGGGTTGTGCTAAATAAGGTTATTTTTGAGAAATGCATACAAATACCGAGTGTGTATGTGTGCATAAATGAGTAAGAAATCAGATGAAATGTTAATATCTACTAAATTAATGTATAATTGTTTAAATAAATGAGAATCAGTTTTTCCATTTATTATTTATTTATAATAAAAATAAACATATTCTTATTTTTTCAAATATTGCAATATAGCTCCCAGCTCCAAACTCCATCAAAGAATACATGAAATTCGAAGAAAATGCACAAATGGGAGACATTCAACCAATCAGCGGCTTACAAAAATACTGAAGACAGGTGGACACAAATGTCTGTGTTGGAAGAAAACTCATATGGAAACATGAAACTAAAATAAAATTTGAAATATTAAAAACTAATTGAAACCACATTTGATAGACTTGAGTTTCTCCCCTCCCCCAAATTAAAAGTTTAAGTTATATTATTAGGTAAATGAGTCCTAACAACTTTACAATCTGGGTATGAACCAGAAGTTGGTTTCAGCAAGTTCTGACCAGTTCTGGAGAACCGATAGCAGAATTTTTTTAGTAGTTCAGAGAATTGGTAGTAAAAATTCTGACTGGCCCCATCCTCATCTATTCTCTGCCTCCCAAGTCCCAGCTGATCGGGAGGAAATGGAGATTTTGCAGTAACCTTCCCCTGGAGTGGGGAGGAAATGGAAATTTTACAGTATCCTTTCCCTGCCACGCCCACCAAGCCACACCCACCAATCCATGCCATGCCCACCAAGCAACCCCCACAGAACCGGTAGAAAAAAATTTGAAACCCACCACTGGTATGAACCTCTGTGTACTGGAATAGTAATTGAATTCATGACAGATGTGCCAAATTTAGCAGGACAAAGCAAGTTTTTGGAGTTGTGAATTTCTTTGTGTATGCTTCTTTCAGATTTGGCTCTTGGGATGCTTGTATAAAGATTCTGACTGATCCTTGAAAATTTGAAGTTTAAACCATTTGATGTTTGCAATTTTATTGGGACTCAAGCTTGTTAAATGGGACTATTTGTGATACAATAACACTTGGATATGACAGACATCCAAGAAGCAAGTGGATAAGTCAACAAATCCAACATAATCATTTTATTTTGGCAGTGGGTATTCCTGCTTCTTTCAAATTACCTGCAGGTGGCTAAGCAGCAAGAACATTAAGCAATAAATTAATACATTTTCAAAGTGACAAAACAAAACCAAAAAAATCCAACAACTGAGTAAGAACAGTAATGAATGAAACTATAAGACTTCTCAGCCAATTAAAAAAAGAGACTAAACTATAAAGTAAAGCAATCAAATGCCATTAAAAGTACAGAAGTATAAAATTATATGCTGTTGAATGCTTAAAAGATTGTGAAATTGGTGCCAAGTGAAGATAATGTACTTAGCAAAAAAAGTTGTGCCTTCAAAAGGCCTATCCTTTTGGTAGATATTTGCTAAACCTACAATGGGATTTTTTTGTGTGCTTGCTATATGAGTGTAGTATTCACTCCCAAACACTCTGAGCAGATAATAATAATAATAATAATAAAAAATCAGAAAAAAGAATTCCTCAAATAAACAATGAATAAAACCATCCAAAGGAATAATAATTAAAAAGAACCCCCAACATAAGAGAATACAGAAAAAGCTACAAAATCATGTGTCCACAAAGCATCCAATAATTCACCACAAGATTTCCTTCTGGGCCAAGTTTTATTTGTTCTTCTGAAACCCAGGAAGGAAATGGATAGGCCAAACCTCCCTAAGAAATGATGAATTCTGAAGATGTTCTTCACAATGAAATGGTTCAGAATAAATTCCTAAATAGAATAAATTCATAAATAAATAACAATTTCTAGTCCCAGTTATGGTGGGTAACTCAAGGACTACCTTGTCCTGGGAAGTCCTCACTTTTCACTTTAGAGGTGAAAATTATGGTTGCATTTTTTTGTATTCTATGGTACAATTTCTCAATCAAAGCACCTTTGAGATGTGTGTACTTGATTGCTAGGATAGAGAATTCTGAGATTTGGAGTCCATACGTGCACAGAGACGCATTCCTTGTGTGTCCAAACATACTTGGCCAATAAAGAATATTCCTATTCCTATTCCTATTCCTATTCCTATTCCTATTCCTATTCCATTCCACTCCACTCCACTCTACTCTATTCTATTTCTCTCCCAAGGTTGACAAATGCTGTCCTAGAAGATATTCCACAAGGCATTGGTCAATAAATAAAATATTACTATTCTGCTTCCTTGCTGGCATAATTACTTCTGCTGACCTTTCTGGGATCCAGGCTCCAATTGCAATAGCCCAGTCAAAGATTGCACCCCATGTGTGCATTTGCCTTTTGACACTCCCTTAAAATGTGAAGAAGTGCATCTCAGTCTTGCACCTGGGAAATTTCTTTTCTTTCATATTATTTCAATTTCTGGACTGGAAGCACAGATCCATCGTATCAGAGATTTAAATTTAGCTATACTTCTGCACCACTGGCTCTCTTTCTTTCCACCCTCTTGATTTTCTCCGCTCAACTATGATAGGATAATTTTCATAAAACTGACAGGTTGAATCTTTGCTTTTTAGAGCTGTGTTAGACTCAGATCCAGCCATTGAAACTCATTGGTTTACAAAACTCTTCTCATTTTTTTTAATTGTACTCCAATCTACTGTTTTTGTGTATGGGGGTGGTTGCATTTACATTTGGCGGAACTCTAAATAACAATTCCAAATTGAATGAACTAGATTCAGTTTGCCATTGTACAAGTTAAAACTAAATCCCTGAGAAGCAATCAATATTGGAATAAGAGGCTTGCAAGGTGCTACTGTTCCTTGTAACACTTTTGAAAGGAAAATGTACAAGCAGATTCATTGTTTTCTTTTCATTATAATGTCCCCTCCCAGCAAGATCCAGATGGCCCCTTCTCTGCTTTTCTGTAGAGGAACTCTTCACTCAAACTTTGACTCCCACCATAACCCCAAGCCTAGGAGAACAGCCAGATCTTCTGAAACTTTTAGGATGTCATCAGGATGAGATCTGTATGGATTGTTGTTATTGTTATTATGTGCTGCTTTCATTATAATATATAAATTTCATTAAAAATGGGCTGTTGAACGCCCAGATAAAGGCAGTTACATAGATGACCCTACACAAAAGGTGCCAGGTTTTGATCTTCCTCGCCAGCATTGGTCAACTCTGAACTAGATCTGTACCCAGCATGGTGTCTGCCAGGACTCATTGTTTAAGTGGGGTCTTGTCTCTACCCCCTCAGTGTGACTGTGGTGCTCCTTGACAAAATATCCATCACATTGTGTCCGAATGTCCATCAAGAGCTTACATTGTCCCAATCAGGGATGGGTTCTACTTACCTTTACTACTGGTTCGCAACAGGAGTGTGTACACACACTTTGCTCGTATGTGTGTGTATGCGCTTCTGCGCATGTGCAGATCATCCATGATGACGTCCGGGCAGGTGGGCGGAGCCTCCCACCGCTTTTACTACCAGTTCACAAGAACCGACTGAACCAGGAGCAACCCACCACTGGGCCCAATGTCTGATTTTTTTTAACATAGACCATCCTGTCTTTGAATGGCTGGGTGGACTGGACAGTAACATTTGAATCATTATAAGTCCATGTATTTGCCATACGGTCAATAAATAAAATCCATTAAAAATGAGAAGAAGAAAACAAAACAAAAATCATTTGTAAAGCATCTGTATATGAAAACTTGGGTGAAGAGAGAAATTTTCAACTGTTTAAAGACACATCCGTACTCAGAAAAAAAAATTAGGGAGAGCAGAGAAATCTAGCTTGAATATTGAAGGATCCAATCTGTCAGTCATCAGAACCAGATGTTTATTCCTCAGAGCTAAAACCTCTGGTTCCAGTGACCCTGCAACATTATCCTAGGACACATATGTTTACCTTCATTCTTGAAAATTGCCTAAAAGTTTCATATAGGTATCAAATTCCACTGGGGGGGTGGATACTCTGACCCATATTATCAAAATGACTCAATATTCTTATGAACCCAACTTTGCAGTAGGAATGAAACTATTATAAAATAGTTTTCTTGCAAATGATAGTCCAGGAAAATATTATGATCGATGGATTATTCACGTCAGAAGCATCATTATTAAAGTTGTATATGTAGGTATAGATACAAACGTAAACACATAAAATTTAAACTGTTTAAAAGCCTAATTTAGACGATGGTTGCCCAGAAGCATGCAGATTGCTTTCTGTTTATTATTATGATTGATGATATGAAAGGTAATCAACAGAAATACCACTCTCTTTCTACTTCAGAATGTCGTCTATAAGATTGACCATGGCTGATTAGTACCAGAACTACCGAAAATAAGACCCTGTCTTATATTTTTTGAACCCCGAAATAAGTGCTTGGCTTTAATTTTGGGGAGGTTTTATTATTTTGGGGTGCATGGAGCAAGGCGGGGCTCCTCTTGCCGTCTTACCTGATTTCCAGCTCTGTCTCCCTAACCCTAACCAGAGGAAATGGCGGGGACCGGCTGCACAAGTGTTTAAATATTTTCGGAGAGAGCTTATTGGGGGGGGGCTTATTTTAGCGCATGTGCTCAAAAACCCGATTAGGCTTATTATCCGGGGAGGTCTTATTTCTGGGGAAACACGGTACATTTTGAATGAAAAAGGTCAAGATGATTTGTGCCTTCAAAAAAAAAAAAATGAAACTACACCTCAAAGACATTGAGGTTATAAAAATAATATTTGTGACTGGGTAGTCACAGTAACCTGCAATCCTGGGTTTCTAGAGCAGCTCTCATTAAGATCTTGACCACCTCCAAAAAGTCTGCTTGATAGCTATTTGATAATGAGGACCCAGATTGTGGGGGCAATAATCTGACTTTGTATAAATATACAAAAATATGAAGGCTATTGCTTAACACAGTGTTAGCCACCCTGAGTCTCTGGAGAAGGGCGGCATATAAATTAAAGTAAAATAAAATAAAATAAAATAAAAATGCATTGATAACAACAAAGAAAGCTTTTTTGGAGCCTCTGTGGTCATGTAGAACTATATGCACTAAAAGGTAGCCACTTGCCTCACGGCAAGGTTTATGCCACTTGCAATATATTTGAGTTTTACTTTCATATTTTGTCTGCATAGAAGACCACTGAGAACAGCATGGACCTCTAGGGAAACTCCATATAGGTGCTGCAAAAGCTGTTTCAAGTATGCAGTGACAAAGGCAGCCATTGACTTAAACTCCCAGCCCATGGGCTGGATGCATCATGTGCTGGCCACGCCCACGTCCAGTTTAGCGAAGTGGGGAAAATACCTGATACGTCAGGTGATGCCGCTAGGATGACGTGAATTTGACTTAAACTAAATGCTGTGTTGGCCTGTTACTC